AAAAGCAGTTTAATCTTCCTTGGAGAAGTAAAGCGTACCAAAAATGTTTCACCTATTTTTATGCATTTATGTAGTTTTAATAAATTTTATTTTTTTATATATGCATATATATATATTTTAATGAAGACTAATGTCACTGGTGCTGGGTAAGTGCAGAAGTCAGACTTGATTAGTCCTTGCTTGGGAAAATAAGCCTAAACAGTGTTATATGAGTGCTGGTGCGCTGTGTGCAGTCATTTTTGAATGCTCCCACTTTTCTAGTGGTTGAAATTATTTAGGGGTTTTCATTACTTCTCAGCTCTTCAGCTGTGGTTTTAATATAGCACTTCATCTGACATTTGGAAATACTTAGTTTTACATCAAGCTACGCATAATAAAGTTTGAATTGTTTTAGAATAATTTTACACAGTTCTGCTTTATTTTTGTTTCAGCAGAACTGCAAGATGCAGTTACAGTCTGCAGCGCACAATTCTGTGTTCTGTGGCAGCATTTTATGCTTTCATGGGGCACTCTGCTTCTTGGACTGTCCTGAGTTTTGTTCTTCAGTCATTTTTTTTTTTCCAAACTTCTGCTGTCTTTCTTCCATTTCCCGTTTCCTTTAATTCGTTGTAGGCAACAAGATTCTAACTGGCTTGGTAGGTAGTCAGTGAAAGTTCTGATTGCAGTTTAAGAACAAACTGTTTCTGTTGAGAAAAAGTTGAAACTTTCCCCAATAAATACCGTTTTCAGGGCAGTGAGAAACCTGTGAAAAGACATCAAGCTGATCGTCTTTGGTGTACTTTTTTTCGTAAGTTTACATTGATTTGTTAGTGTTTCTTTATTTTTAAAATGGGTATGTGTGTTATGTTCCATGATTGATACGGCAGGAAACTTGCTTTGTAAATTGCAGTCTAGAGCTGAAGATTGGAAATGGCAGTAACCCTGCGCTGAAGATTGATAGCAGACTTTGCTGTTTGAAATAACGAAAAAGTTTGATGTTTGGGGTTGTTTTTCGAGGGAAGTTGTTCTCAATCAGGGGTGTTGAGTATGTGTAAGAAATTCAGTACTTGGCCTAATAAAGTTTCTCTCACAATTGCAATGAAAGCTCATTAGATCTAAAAATCATGAGCTTTTGGAAAATGGATATTGCTCATAGAGGTTTGTTGCAAGTTTACCCAGGCTACTTGTCTGCAAAAACAGGATGAGTTAGTTCTAGTACAGATTTTCTTTGTTTGACCTTAATAGTAATAACTGTTGAGACAATAAAACGCAAATTCCGTAAAGCAAATGGGGATCTTCTTTAACCTCATTTATTCTAGTAGCTACAGGAGATTTGGTGTTTCATGATTCATGGGAAGAGGTTTTTAATGATCTGAAAACCAAAAAACAGATTTCCAGTTCTAGCATATAAATGTAGTATATTGGGGTGTTTTTTTTTTTTGCACACTGGTGATAACATAAAGCACTTACATTTTTCATTGTGTGGTTGCTTGGGAGCTGCTGCATCTGTGAGTAGATATGAGTGTGTTTTGCTTAAAATAAGCATTGAGATCTTTCTTTCTTAAAATAGTGCCTGTTGCTTATAATTTATGAAAAGTGGACTGTATAAACTTGAGTCACGTGGATTGCATAAGCTCATGTTATTCAGGGCTTGCTGTTGACAAAAATTACTCCTGCTAATAAGCCTGCATGTTCTTTGTTTTTCATGCTTCCACAAGCAAGAGAGAGATGTGTCTGAGCAGCTCTAGATCCTTTTTCGTTTTAATATTCCTTATTTGTCAAAAAAGTTGGGTTTTTTTTAACCCCATTTATCATGGTTTAACTCTAGCTGACAACTTAAGTGCCATGCAGCCACTGGCTCACTTTTCTCCCCCTGTGGGATATGAAGGAGAATCAGAAAAAGGTAAAACCTGTGGGTTGAGGTAAGAACAGTTTAATAGTTGAAATTAAGTAAAATGTAATAATAATTGTGTGAAAGGGGAGATAACAGAGAGGAATAAAACCCAAGAAAGACAAGTGATGCACAGTACAATTGTCTACCACCCATTGACTGATGCCCAGCCCATCCCCAAGTAGCTATCCATGGCTCCCAGCTAACTCTCAGCAGTTTATACACTCGGCATGATGTGCTGTGGTATGGGATGCCCCTTTGACTACCTTGAGTCAGGTGGCCTGTCTCCTCTCCCTCCTGGCTTCTTGTGCTCCTCCTTACTGGGAGAGCATGAGAGATTCAAAAGTCTTAATTTAGGATAAGCACTACTTAGTAACAACTAAAACATCGGTGTGAAATCAACATTATTTCTATACTAAATCCAAAACACGGCACTGCAGTAGGTACTAGAAGGAAAATTAACTATCCCAGCCTAAACCAGGACACCACTGTTAGTAACCATTCTACAGACTGAAAAAAACTTTGCCTACTGTAATGTTAAAATCCTACATTAGTGAAATAATGACACTCATAAGTTATGTTTAAACTAATATAAGACTGGACTACCACTGGAGAGTAGTGTCTCCATTGCTGTAGTTGCATGTTTCTGTTGCATTGCTTGTTCCTCAACATCAGCAATCAAAGCAACCACATGGTTGCTTTTCCCAGTGCATTGCTGAAAACTAGTTCATTACCATGAATACATATTTCTTGGTACTGACATGGTGAGGACGAGAAGAAACCATTGGCAGGGGTTTGAGAGTGCCAGAATGTCCATTTCAGCAGCAGCACAGTCAAACTGATGGAACCAATCAAAATGTGAAGCTAGTCCTTAATTTTATTTACTTATTTATTTTCCTCTGAATATACATACCGAACAGTGTACATAGAGACATGTAGCTATGTCATATTTGGCATACCTATGGCTTTTTATACATCATCTTAAAAGAATGAACAGGTATTTCTACTTCCTCAGTCCTTTGGGAATGTGCACTGTGTTCTTGTTCTGGTAGCAGTAATTGTTTGATCTCTCTTTAAAACTTAATCTCTGATCTAATTTGTTTCTGCTGATAGCTGATTTATATTATCTAAGGGCCTGAATGGAAACTTGAGTAACATGTCTCTGGCTTGTGGCAGGCTGAAAACAGAGCAGTTTCTACACCTCACTTGAAAAATAGGTCTGACAGGGTATCTGAGAATAAGAAATAGTTTTGCAGAGACGCAGGAGATTTCTTTTTGTATTAGCAGAATGTTTTTTCAGCTTTTCATGTCAGATGCGTTATGAAGTGTACTGCGATAGTTTGTAGGCAAATTTAAGCTTTCTCATAAAGCAGAATCTGTTCTGACAGGTCCTTCAGCATAGTCTAGGACTGAACTCCTCAATTTACAGTTATTTGTACTGGCTTGCTGAGAATGAGAACAAGATTAATCAATACCATGTAGTTTGAGGTTTGAATGCTCAAGACAACTCTAGATTTATCATTTTCTTTCTTTCATAGGAGTTACAGGAGTTCCAAATATATAATTTGTATATACAAATATATACAGGAGTTACAAAATAGACAAATGTATATTTTCAGTGTCAGCTAATTGACAGTAAAAGAGAATGCTTCTCTATAAATCTTTCAGACTGTTGTATAGCTTCTCCCTTTTCTCTTAAAAATCTAATTCTGTGTTCATAATCCAAATGGAAGATCTCCTAGGCATTAGTGGGAAAACCCTTGAATCACTGTATGGTAAATGCCCTGAAATATGACTAGATCATACAAAGTAACTTGCTAAGCTCAAGTTCCTTAGTTGTCAGTGTTCTTTGCAGAGGTCTTCCTAGCAAACAGACTGGAAGAATTAGAACTTAATAAAGGGAGTTCTGCCATAATTATAGTATAATGCCCTACAGAAAGACACATGAAGTTACATATGCTTGCTTGACTGTGTCTGAATGAACAATGATCATGATGACCTTTAAGACTCTGATGATAGGATATCTGGGATGGGTTGCTCTTTCTTCCAGTATTAGAAGCATGCTGCTGGTCATAGCCTTAAGTAAAAACTTTTATTTGTTGTAAGGAAACAAATGTGCTGAGAATTCATCTTAAAATTTTGTTTTCTTTGCAGTCTACAGCTTGCAGTAGCTGATTGCAGGCTACTGCCATTGCCTTTATCCCAGTTCATTTCTGTTAATACTCTCAAGTCTGTGTTGGATTCTTCCTTTTTTTTTTCAGTTCTGATGTCCACACCTCTTCCCCTCCTCCTTGGGAAAGTCTTCAGAATGTGATCTTAAACCTCTTAATATGTCTCTTTAACCAGATACGGGAATGGCTTAAGAACTGTACTGTTTGTGAATTAGCAAACCCAGAGCAGGGTTGGTGGCAGCCCATGAAATCAGTATCTTGTAATCATAAAAGCCTTATTTTTACATTTTCATTGCAACTATGAAACTAAAATACGGTAGCCTTGGATGTACTTAAGCTTGTGCCAGGGGAAGGATAATAAAAAATAGTAATGTACATATTATTGGCTATTAATCACAGAAAAAAGACATAATGTCAGTTTGAATTTGCAAAACTGGAAGGACTTCCAGGAAGAAGTAGATAACATCAGGAGGGAATCCCTACCACTCTTCCAGTGTTTGAAATGGATTTTCAGTATTTTTTGACTTATGGTTGTAGCATTGTATTCAAAGCAGTCTTGTCTTGACTTGGTAAATCTGACTGGTTTGTAACTTTTTTTTTTTCCTCCTTTTGGTTTTGAGGGTTTTTTTTACTCGGCTTCTGCAGCCTCTCTCAGTAGTCGGAAACATGACATACAGACACTGATGTGATATTCAATTTGGCATTTCACATATTATGATCTTCACTTTTTTTTAATGTTACCTATTTTCATCCTGTCTTTAAAATCTGGATTACAGGAACCTCCTATTTATAATACTGTGTTCTGAAACAAAATGTTTGGTGAATGCTTATGTTATTTCTTCACATCAAAATTCTTGAAGTACAGAACAGTAATGATGCAATGTGTGAATACAGAAAAGTTTTAGTAAAAATGGTGTGGTTTCAAGTTTGATGTAGTTTATTTTTGTGTTACACTGTAGGTCTGTCAAATGGTTTTGGAGATGGAAGTAAAGAGAGAGCATTAGATGATACTCCTGGAAGAAAAGTTGAACCTCGTCGCCGCTGTGCATCAGAATCTAGTATTTCATCTAGTAACAGTCTTTTGTGTAACTCAAGGTAAAGCTGTAAACCTGAAATACAATTTGAGACTGAAAATGCCAGTTTTCTGTACTGCTTGTGGACCCACATTGGAGGATTGCATAAATTTGAGAAAAAAAGGAGTACATGTCCATTTTCTCAGTTGTGTGTCAAATCAGAGACACCTTTCAGGTTTGCTGGATTCTTCTGTTGAACCCAGGGCCCTTACTGCAGATTTAGGCAGCTACACTTGACTGTGCTTCTCTTGCTCTGTATAGATACATACACGTTTGTGCATATAGTGTCTTGTTTTACCTTCCTAATCCCAATCACTGAAAATAATGTGTTTATTTCAGTGAGGAGAGGGGAGAAGCAGTTTGCAAAGCAGAGCCTTGTGCAAAGGGAATGTAAATTCAGTAGCTGTGAAACTGCAGTTTATCAGTCTCTGGTTTGGAATACTGGCTGTTTACTGCAGTGATGATAGTAGCTGTATACCAGCTATTGACTGTCTCTGTGAAGTCTGTTGGTAAAGACAGAACTGTCAAAATGGTCACCTCTGCCACCATTGAAATTTTTCTCCACACCAATGGTGATATCCGTATCTTCCAAAAGCACTCTGATCTGTGCATGAAAGGTAGTAACGATCTCTAGTCCTAGACTATGAGGATGGGACATAACAGGAGTACAGGGTCAATCTGTTACGCAGGGGGGCAAAGGAAGGTTTTATTCATGTGTTCAAGATTGGCACTGAACTGTTTAAAGGTGTTAGCTCACTCACGTTAAACAGGCTTTCAGAAACAAAGACAGCTTAATATTGTATCTCTCATAAATGTGGTATTTTGAGGATTTGATCTAGTAGATTTGATTTCTGTTCAGATTCTGTGATGTCTTAGAGAAAACTCAAGTCTGCAGATAACATTTCCTGTTTCACGTATAGATACTGCACAATTGAAAGACATGAATTTGTAGTGAAAAATGAAAGAGAAAATAGTCATGTTTCCTATATAGTGGAATTGTTTCCTCTGAGCAAAGGGAGTATGTTTTCATTTGGCCAGTATCCACTCTTAACACTGGAGAGAAAACAGCTTATCTTACTTGTGCATGTACAACCTGTACAGCAGCTGAGGTGCATTTTCATACTGTCTTTTGCTGTTAACCAGGCAGTTCTGTGCATGAAAATAATCTGGGATTGTGGCTTTTATGTTGTTTTTGTTACATAAAATTTGTTAGCTTGCTGCTCTGATTTTACTGTGTACTGATGAATTTTAAATGCTTCTTCAAAGTCTTGAGTTATAGTGAACCATGTTAATTACCAAGTAATGATTTTAATAATACTTTTGTAGTTTCAGCCTACCAAAGTGTGGTAAAGGTAAACCTGCACTTATACGAAGGCACACACTGGAAGACCGAAGTGAATTAATATCATGCATTGAAAATGGAAACTATGCCAAAGCAGCAAGAATTGCAGCTGGTAACTATAAATAACAGTATTCTTTGTAATATTGTATAATAATAATTCTGTCCATTTATTTGACAGATTCCAACATTCTGATTTTTGCCGGTGAAATACCTTGAGCATTCTGAAAGTGGTGTTGATAGCATTGCAGAAATTACTGGTTTCTGCTTTTGACTCTTTAAAGATTTTGAAGAGAAAATAGTACCTGATCCTTTATTATTTTTATTATTATTAAGAAGTGGCATTTAAAGTGATCAAGCTCCTTTAGTAATACAAGCAAAATTTTACCTAAAATACTGTTTGTGGTTCTCTCGATAATTTTCTTCATTGGAATGTTTGGTGTAGAGTTTAGTCTTCAGATACTGTTCTGCATAAATATGTTGGCAGACAGGTAGGACATAGTCTGCTTTGATTCAGGAAAAATTTGAAATTGGAAAGAAGCGTAAATTTCTAGTGATGTAGAGGATAGTAAGTTACCACATTTTAGGAAATAACTACATTCTGTTGATACATTTTCCACCTGTTTCAGTATTTTAATTGCATGATAGGATTTAAGTAGGTCGTCTCTTCCGTAAGTAGAACTGTCTTTGTGTAATGCAGTAGTCCCATGCTGAAGTTAGGTGTCAGCCTTGTAGCGTCTAGCCATGTAGCAGGCCTGTCTTTAGTTTCTGACCTTACAACTCTTCACCCCTCATGCTGAGTGTTCCTTGTTCAAGGACTCTTCTGTGTGTTTCTAGTGGTTTTGTCTGACTCTTCGTTTGCCTTAGTCTGTTCGTTTGACCCCAGATGATCAGTTTTGTTTTTCTTTCTTGCAGCTAATCTGTATTCAGCTGCTGCTTCATTACTCTCACGTTTAGGATCCTTATTATCTGCGTGGTAATCTCTTACACAGGACTTTACCTTTTCCACTTTCTGTCCTGGGTATTCTTACATTTAGCACTTTCCACTTAGAATTCCTATACCTGTTGTTTTCAGAATTCTTGATCTCTTTTAATTCTGTTCTCAGGTACATTCTATAGGCACCTATAAGGAGGAGCAGATGATACTTAACAGCACAGGCCCATACTAGCTACTGTGAAGAAAGTTATCCCAGACAAAACTAACACATGATTATAGATCAAAAATAAATTGTAATTGAATTGATTTAGCCTATGGCTGAGAATTACCCTAGAATATATTGTGGAGAATGACCTTTTTCTTTTTTTTGTAATCACCTAAAGCACCTTTTCCTTGCTATTCCTGCTCTTAAAAGGTCTCAAACCACTTTTTTTCCTGTACTTTTTTTTTGTGATGTTGAGGCAGAACTTATACCTGCATGCCCCATTTCATCGTAAATAAGCATTGCCCATTTTAAATGGGAGCAGATGGGGAAGAATTGAGGAAGAAATCATATTTTGGCAAGTAGAGAGTTACTTCTATCAAGTATTGCCTTACTGCTAAAAAACCCTGCGACTGCCACCTTTGAACTGAATCTCGGTACCACGTATACAAGAAGTGCCATCTCATCTTTACAGCCTGTGAACTTTCAGTGCCTTCTTCCTACTTTATCCACCCCAGTTACATCTTGATGGGATAACTCACTGTCTTCCACCCAATCTCTTGACCATATCACTTTGTGTGTAGGGGCCAATTGCAGTTCTGGTTGACTGAAAGTCTTTAACCTCTCTCATGCTTCAGTCCAGTGGTGACAACAGAGAAGAAAATGGAGGATTCTGGTAGAAGCAATAAGTAATATAAACTCAGTTTTCTGTTGCCTCCTGAGAAGGAAGAAACCAGCAGCTGATTCCTTGCCACCCTGTTTGTCTTTCTGACTTTGCTGCAGGAAAGGGCTGGGCAAAGAGACAGGCCAATTAAATATAAATAAAGGAATAAAAATTAAAATGCAGAACGGAACTTCTGTGTAAGAGTAGAAAGGTATACCAGGCAGGGATTGTATGTTACTAGGTGCTAGTCCTATTATGGTATCCAGCACTTTGGAAACACACCATGCAACTTGAATCTTCAGTACCATCGCGGCTTTGACAGGATTGTGGTAGTTTCAAAAAACACTGGTTGTTTGAAGTACCGTAACTTTATGTTTTCTTTTGAGCTTTTTTCAAAGGGGAAGGATTATTAGAAGTTGGTGAACACTGGCTTTCTGAAAATTAAGGTGGTTTAAGATAGCCTGTTTCCAGAAAACTTAGTTATCTTTAGGCTTGGATTAAAGTATTAGTATCATCTAAAGAGATATTTTGAATGTATCTGCTTTTTATTGCTATTTTATATGTGCATGGAAAGTGGTGTTGATACTTGGATTCTGATGATCATGAGATATTGATGACAAGTGCAGAAGATTGGTCAGAGGTTTCATTCTTTAACATTTTAATATTATATTTAATTATTATTTATTCTTAGAAGTTGGGCATAGCAGTATGTGGATTTCAACTGATGCTGCAACATCTGTTCTTGAGCCTCTCAAAGTAGTATGGGCCAAATGCAGTGGATATCCCTCTTACCCAGCTCTGGTAAGTAAGCTGCTTCTCATCAGTACACTAGTGATACTGTTTCTGGTCTGGAAACACTTATGTGTGAACTTAAGCCAGTTGATAAATTCCCATTCAGGTTGAATAAAGGTAGATTGTTCTGCCCTCTTAACTGTGCATCATTTGTAAAATTATTGCAATATGAGATGTTGAGTCAATAATTACTTCCGTACCCATCATCTGAGATGCGTAATGCCTGTTGTGATTTAACCCCAGTCAGCAACTAAGCCCCATACAGGTGCTTGTTCACTCCCTCCCGTTGGGATGGTGGAGAGAATTGGAAGGGTAGAAGTGAGGAAACTCCTGTGTTGAGACAAAGACAGTTTAACAGGTGAGGCAAAAGCCGTGTGCACAAGCAAAGCAAAACAAGGCGTTCATTCACCAATTCCCATGGCAGGCAGGTGTTCAGCCATCTCCAGGACAGCAGGGCTCTATCACACATAATGGTTACTTGGGAAGACAAACACCATCACTCCCAACGTCCTATCCTTCCTTCTTGCTCCCCCAGCTTTATATGCTGAGCATGACATCATATGGTATGGGATATCCTTTTGGTCAGTTGGGTCAGCTGTCCTGGCTGCGTGTCTTCCCAGTTCCTTGTGCACCCCCAGCCTGCTCGCGGGGGGGCTGGTGTGAGGAGCAGAAGAGGCCTTGGCTTTGTGTAGGCACTACTCAGCAGCGACGAAAACATCCCTATGTTATTAACACTGTTTACAGCACAGATCCAAAACAAGAGACCCATACCAGCCACTATGAAGAAAATTAACTCCAGCCAAAACCAGCACGTGTGTCTTGGTAGTCTTTATTTCTGCAGTATATATTACTGTTTTAAAGTATCTACTGAATAAGCATTTGACAGACATCTTGTTGGTGATGTTGCTATAAGATATTTTCTGTTGGAAAATGAGTATAGAAATACTCTGATTTAGCAGTTCATTAAAGAAACAGAAAGCTTGCTATCTTCGGAATAAATTGAATGATTGTATCCAGTTGTGAATGTCATGCTGGAAACTGAAAGCTATTGTGCCTGTGTTATTTTAGGAGAAATAGAGAGTTCTACTTACATTAAAGCTTGCAGAAAAGTGTTGTTAAAGTGTTTGGCTTCAGGTGTTTGGAGTTACAGAAACAGTGCATACACTGGCTTGATTTTTCTAATAGACTGGACAGTTACGACTTCTAATGTGTGATGGGAACATCAGGAAGTGCTGGGAACATCAGGAAATGTAATTGTACAGGGTCAGGTTAAAACCTGTGGAGGTGAGATTTAGAGCACTTAAGTGCTCTCAGTGGGTGACTCGAACACTCTTGGGTCATGCTGAAAATTTAATGATTTGGCTGTCTCTTGAATGGTGTTAGCACTTTAGTATTAGATTTTAGTTGATCATGACTAACGGTCTCCTTTTCTGCCTACTCCTTTGTGTCAGCACTGGTGTTTCTCTTGTGTGTGATGAGTTGATCAGGGAATTAAACCTCAGTCAAGAGAAGAAAGTTCTCCTGATTTCTACAAACTCTCCACAGTGTTAGCTTTCTGTTGATTTAATTCCCGTAATCAGTTTACCATGGTTTAAGGTTGGTGCCAGTTTGGATGACAGAAAAAAAAATGGAAGTTTAGAGAGTAGGAGGTGGGTGGAACAAACATGGAGTAACATAGCTCCTCTTTGGTGGAAGCTGAGCACTTAATTATGCTGTGATCTGCCTACAAAGGAGTTTTTCCATTAGCGTGATTATTAGTTCAATGTTAGTGGCATCTTCCACCCTCCTCTAACCTTTGTTTAGAAAGAATTTGTGACTATAACTCCATGTTTTGCTAAAAATGGAGTCATTAAATTGGATATGCAATATATTTGGAAATTACTTCAGATACCTTTGGGGGGGGGGGGGGGTGTCTGTCCCTTTTTTAAGGTGTTCTGCTCCATTTTTGAGTGTGGGGTTTGTACTTTGCAGAAACAGATACTTATACCTTAAGGTAAGCTTGTTTCTTTAAGGTATCTGAAATTCAGACCCCCAAATTTTCTGTAGAGACAGGTTTTTCAGTTAAATATACCTGTTCAGTGTATGTCAAAAAGGTATGTGTGTAAAACAAAGCCAATTTATATGCAGTAGCTGCTCAGTTTATGATTATTTTCCCCTTAACTATTTGTAATATCTCCTTAAAATAAATGATGTAGTTAAAAAAAATCAGGAACTGTCATTTATTCTCTTTCATAGATTATTGACCCTAAGATGCCTCGTGTTGCTGGCCATCACAACGGTGTTACTATACCAGTGCCACCTCTGGATGTACTGAAAATCGGAGAACAAATGCAGACCAAATCTGATGAGAAACTATTCTTAGTGCTATTTTTTGACAATAAAAGAAGTTGGTATGTTATTGAAATGTATTGTTTGATGTAGTGACTTAAAATTTTAAAAGCGTGTACCTTTATCCCGAAAGAATTGAGACATTATAGTTTCATGGATATCTTTCCTACAGAAGTATCAACTGTAAAGGAAAAAAATCATATTTGAGTCTATTCTTTGACCAAGGTATATCGTTAATGAAAGATACCTTTTTATGGTCAGTTCGGAAGAAAATATAAGTTGTTAAATAGTCTTTTGGTTTGATACACAAGCTGTTTTCACTTACTGACCCAATAAAATTGTGTCTTTGGCTAAACAGTTTTTTTAAAGGTAAAAGTATTTATCTGTATCAGCCTTCATCATTGCTTCCCAAATGACACCAGTTTTCCCCCCCCCCAGTCTGCTCAAGTGCATTTTCTTTAAATTCTTAACCTCTAAAGTCCTTTATTAATAAACACTCTCATTTGAAGTTCTTGACCCTTTTTAATTTTTTTCTTGAAACCTTTCCTTCTTCAATTTCTTTCAGTATCAGGAATATGCTGTGTGAGGCCTGAAGGGATAATTTAGACAATAAAATATTCTTTCACTTGTGCTACCTTTTTTGTTGCTGCTGTTTCCGTTTTTGAGTGTGTTTGTCTGGGTTTGTTGGTTTAGGTTTTTCCCCCTCCAGATATGGAAGCTTTTCATCAACTCTCTTTTCTTCCCTTCATCGAATTATGTATTTCATTCCTGTGTTCTTAATCTCTCTTCAGTCTGTTTCCACACAGATTAAGCTAGCTTTAAATCTTTTTATATCTCAGTTTTATTCTTGAATTTGTTTACAACTTCAGATGCCATCTTCCTCTTCAGCTGATGAAATGTCTAGTAATGCTGCTGTTTCCCTGACTCTCTCTGTCCCCAGTACTCTAACACCTAAATAATTTCTTGCCTGAGGTTTGCTTTTCTGTCTCCATAGGTCCTTTGGCATAATCAGTATTCTTTGGCTTATTCTTCATTTTTTTTTTTATTAGTACTTTTTAATGATCTTTCTTGTTCAGTTGTGCAGGATTCCATGAAATTCTTCATTCTTCTGCATTTGTTCATGGAGATCATCCAAGTTTAAACATACTTAGTATTCTGTTTCTCATTATTCTCTTGCTGGTATCACAAGTGTAATGCATGCTCTCCCCTAGCCACTTTCTTAATGATTCCTGTGTTTGCTACTTGATCTTGTGAGTCCTCTGCACCTTAAACCTGTCTGATTCATTGCCATATGTAGGTGGTTCTAAATCTTGCAAATACTGTGCAGATCTGTCTCTAATGGATACTCAGCATAGATGGACAGGAAAGGCTAAATGCTCTTCCAGCCCCTTTCACCTCCTCCCCTCCCACTACTTTTTTTTGGTAATGGTTCTTTTATTCTCATTATTTTGGCCATTTTGGTACTCATCACTCTTAACTCTTGTTCTGTCTCTCCTACTCCTCAACCCACGTGTATGATTTTCATTCACTTGCAGGGTCATCTTCAGTCCACGATACCAGCTTCTATCACCTGTGGATTACCTTTTTAAATAGTCATATTTGTTTCTTTGACACGTGCATCTGAAGGATTTGCCAAGCTTTCTGTTAAAAATACCTTCTTTGAAACTTCCCTCTGATCTGTAGCAAAACTTAACAATGATTAGACTGCTGCTTACCATGCTGATGTTACTGTTATTTACTGTTCTGTCTATATCCTTGTACTGACTCTTTGTTATTTTGGTTTCAGTGTGTGTGCTCAGTACAACAGGGTTGTAGTTTAGAGTACTTTACTAAAAAATAGTATTTCAAGAGACAGTTTTATTGGGTAAAAAATAAGCAAACTTTGAAAAAATGTTTTATATCAGCCTTTACTGTCTGATTTGCGGTTAGTTTGGCTCCAAATGGACTCCCAGACTGAAGTTTTTGAACAGTAACACAGTTTACGCCATTTGCAAGGTTGCAGTTGCAGGCTACAATAACATACTTCTAATAGATACTTACTAGTTTACCTATTTTTTTCATACTTTTTGATTAAACATTTAGAAAGCTTTAACTAGAAGGAGTACAGAGATTTTTTCATTATCACTTCTCTATGCCCAGTAATTAGTGATACTCACAGAGCTTAAACCAGGAAAGTACTCCTAATTAAATTAAAAGTTAGTAGGATTTCATGATGCAGGGTAAAAGCATACTAAGCAGAACTTCCTTGACAGTTTAGCTTTCATCATAAATCCAAATTGAGATGTCTTAAGGCAAAAAGACAAAAATTAATCATTGCAAATTCCTGGTAATAATGGAAGTGACAGAACATAATACTGTGTCAAATTAGTCTTGTGCTTTGTTCATTGTTACATCCTTCTGCCTGTACTTAAACTGCATCAGTATTTCATGCTATTTTTTTTTCAGTTCACCCTTAATAGCAATCATTAACTATCACTGAATTGCAGTGTATTAGTTGTTTTATGGAAGAGGCTTAATATCTCGTGTTCTTAAAATACTTAAGGCAAGTAAGTACTATCTTAAAAGGAATTTTATAACTTTATTGAAGATGGTAAAAGCTGATCTGTGATATGAAAAATGCAATATAGCAGCCCTGACATTTCTGGACAAACTTTTTTCTTTTACTCCATATTTAACACACTGATTTTACCTTTTCTTACAGGCAGTGGCTTCCCAAATCCAAAATGGTTCCCCTTGGAATAGATGAGACCATAGACAAGTTAAAAATGATGGAAGGACGTAACTCAAGCATACGAAAGGCAGTAAGAATTGCTTTTGATCGTGCTATGAATCACCTGAGTAGAGTCCATGGAGAACCAGTCAGTGACTTCAGTGATATTGACTAACAGATTCTATGAAGGCGTGAAACATACCACACAGACTTGAACTCTACTAATGAACCCCTTTTCTAAAAGAATGTATTGAAGATACAACCCCTTAATTGTTGGCTCAGTTGGTTGAGTTCTGCAAACTTGAAATAGTTGAGTAAATCTCCTAAATCACCATTGCCATATTGATTAATGATTTTACCGTGTTGTAGTTCGGAGGATTTTCCACTAAACCTGTTAAAATGTCTTGTTCATAGTGTTCATAATTGTACATAAATGTATATTCAACACTTAACTTATTCTGATTTTAGAAGTAGCTCTTTTAATTCCTTTTTTAATTTTGCTGGGGAGGGAGTTGGATTTTGTTTCTGTGCTTTTTACTTTTCTTTCTTTCTTTCTGAGGTTAAGTTACCTAAGCGCCATCTTCCAGCTGAAGGTGTTTAGTGAATCTTCAAGCCTAATATCAAAATGGCATCAAATATATGTTTGCCTAAATCATATACAATATGGTGCTGCTTTGTATCATTTCTTCCTTGGTCTGTAGCTTCTGAAAAAGACTTCTGAATGTTTGTGTAAATCGTTGCTCTTTGCACAAAGTACCACATATTTAAGATTGATGTAAATTTACAATTACAAATATGTATTTTAAGAAAGGAATTTGCATTATTTTGGAGGGTACTTTGTGAGAAAGGCATCAAAAAAAAATATACTATGTACATCACTTGCAAATCACCAAAAACACTCCATTGTTGCCCAAAATAACTTGATTGTTTTTGTTTTAAACAAACCTGGCTTAAAGCCTGCAAGCACATTATTTCTTTCAAAGCCGTATCCCATTTATCTCCCATTGGTTTAATTTTGTTTATATTTGTGCCTCCCTGTGTTTTATTTATTGTAGAAAATGTATTAATTTGCTTTATAATGAAAAATAAAATTGACAAATATATTGATACGCATTTTTATACAGGCATATGAGAAGACAACTTGGTTTGGGAGAAAAATGTATTGGAAATTGTATAAAAAAACTCGATGGTTTGTGTGTAATTCGGTTTTTTTGGTAACTTGTAATCTTCTGTTTCCAATGAGGGGATTTATGTAACTTTTAATTTAGAACACTTTGGTAGCAATAGAAACTTTGGATACATTTTTGTATGGTACATGTGATGTATATAGAATTAGTACTTTATTTTTATTTTTAAGAAGTAAAGCATTATGTTTGGGCAGGGGGAAGAAGGAGGGTGGGTTTCCAGAACTGCATTTTTATATTAAAAAGAAAAAAAGTCAAGATATTGATTGTTGTAGCTACTTTATTCCTACCTTCACTGAGATACTGAATTTGTAACAATGAAAATGGCAAGGTATGTTTGCAATGTGATTTATAATGACTCCATTATTTATAAATGCACTGTGTTTGAACTCTTTTGCAGTGATATCTTAAATACTGTACCAAGTTATATAATATGAAACACCAAATATAATGCATATGAATGCACGAAGTATTTATGCCCAGCTTTTTTATAAAGGATTAGCAAATACAGCAAAACCAATACTTTTTAAATCTTTTTTTAAAACTTCATTGAATAGCATACTTCATTGTTAAACCTGCTTGAATCTTTATTTTAAAGGGACAATTACTTTTTAAATAGTTTTTAATGTTTTTATTCTCTATTGTTTGTAATACCCCCTTAGAAGCTTGAAATAAAATTTCTTTCTCAACTGTTAATTTTGTCCTGAATTTAGCCCCTGAGATTTTGCTGTAGTGCCCATTTTCTTACTCCGTGACTGAGCTGGTACAGAGGCACTAGTTCAAGAGCCTGATTGTTTTCTTGCTGTGGCATGCAGTATCATCCTTGATGAGCCCTCTGCATGGTAGGTATTGTAGCTAGCTGCACTACCTGAGACCAGTTCCCTATAATGGACTCCTCATAATTAGAGGATGTTGTATCAGAGATTAGTTGGATACATTTCAGAAATGATCAAGCAAATAGTCTGGACAGTAAGCACAGCTTTAGGGGAGTAGTGATGGCAGGTATCCTGTAAGGACCGTCATTGGGGCGCACTTCTGTGATTGAAGCAACAGCCACCTCAGGTAGAAAAATAAAACGAGTTTTGTGGTTTGTCTGAAGTAGAATATCTATGTAATGACTTGAAGTATCTGCCAGGTAACCACGCTCATCTTTGAAGGGAATGAAGCTTAATTTGTGCAATATTGAGACAGTAGAACCATTTGTCATCTGTTAGGACTGCCTGTTAAGAGTTCAAAAAATAGCCTGCATCAGATTTTATTTCAGACTTATTCCACCAAATATACTCAAATTTGGTGTGTGTGAAACAATAATGATTCACAGCCTCATTCTGGCAGGCAGAGAAAATGGGGTTTTTTTTGGATCTGTCAGGCCTTACAAAGCTAAAATTGCAATTACAGTAGGAGTTGGAAGATTTGGTACTTGTATGATGAGAATTTTGATACCTCTCAAGTATAAAATCACAGTTGGGTGTATACACAACTGCAAAATGATCCTTTAGATGGCTTCCCAAGTTCTCAGCTGCTTCTCATGGTAGCAACAGGAGAGGGAAAAACTATCTCCTTTTTTGAAAACAAGAGCAGAGCATTAATTATATTATTCTGTAGCAGGTTGTTTAGTCAAGTCTCGGGATAAGCTTTCATTTGAATTTTGCTCTGACTTGCAGTTTCATTTTCTGGCTTTTATCTTTAGGGATAGCTCCATCAGTTCTTAGAGAAGGTGAATTTGCTGCCTTGATCTTACAGGTGCACTTCAGAGAATTCTGAGCTGGAAAACTTTACTGATTAAAAGAACCTGTTAAGCATCCTGACAAACCAGACTGCATGTTCTTTTGATAAAACTGGCATGAAAAGCTGTTATTTTTCTTTCATGTATGTGGTATTACCTGTCCTGGGAAGTCCTCCCAGATGCTGTCTGAGAGGAGCTTGCAGCAGTGGCTGTGGCTGTTGTCATGCTGTCTCATACCCAATCTCTTCAGATTAGGTAAAGTCTAAAATGATTTCTTGCAGTTGTCAGTTTTCAGTGTGACCTGTGTGTTTTTAAGGGATTTCTTCCCTATTTGGGAAAGTAAATCCAAGTTCCAAAACTGCTTTATTTCCAAATTCTAGGTCCTAACCAGGTGCGAGTAGAATGAGTAAATGTATAGCAGAATGTGCTTCACTGCAGTTTTTAGACCAAGCTCTTCTATGACACCAGTAATAACTGTAAAACAATCATGGAGTGGAAATTACTATTTTAGTGAAGGGAAAAAAAAAAGGGGGGCGACACCGCATCATACCTTGCTGACTTCTTGGGGAGTGTTACAGCAGTAACTACAGGGTGTAGATTTGCATATGCACTATTCCACTCTGGTATAATCATTTCCTGCTAATGAAGTGTCAGAGACATGGATCAGAAGCTGAAACTTAAGTTGAAATCTGTAATCTCTTGTATTAAAATGTGAGAAATCATGTTATAAATATTTAGGAAAAAAATGTTGGTAGAGAATGAAAAGCAAAACCTGCAAAAGTTTGTATCTGTTACCAAACTTCATTATTTTTGAATGTTTACTGATTGTGATTTTGTATTTTTACACTAGAGGGAGCAATACACACAGACCATCAACATTCACAAAATAAATACTTCATACTTTCTTTTCAAAGTGCTGCTATTAAAACTTTTTGCTGACAAACAGTCTTATCTAGTATTTGTAATCAATCAAAAGTAGCGTTCTCTGATATTGTATCTGTAAGTGGGCCCTTTGGGGGATACTTAATTTTTAGCTCTGGAGTTAATGCTTGGAACAACACCTCTGGATTTTCCAGCTTTGTATCTAATTTCTACTGACAGGTAAGTTTTTACACTGTCTTATTTAGCTGTTCATTTTCTTTCCACAGGTTGTGTATTCTGTGGCTGCATTTGGTAGTGTTAGAAAATGACTCCGAGCTGCTTGCTGCTAGAAACACTGTGCACATCAAAGCACACAGCAATTACCACCAAAAATACTCAGATCTGGAGGTGAGGGTTTAAGATGTGACAGCTTCTTACCCTGCAGGCTGGTGAAGGAAGGATGTCTTGAAAGCAAGCACAAGGAAATTGAATAAACTTGGTGAACTGAATAAACTTATGTGTGATTGTAACACAAATACAGAAGAGAAGTGCAAATGGAGGAAGCATTTACCGTCCGCATTCTACTCACCACCTTTGGTCAGCTTGTTTACATTTCTGTATAACATGATTCAGTTATGACTTACCCATTTGCCAGTTCTTCCTCGAAAGATTTATTTCTTCTAAAATTCTTACAAGTTAGAAAAGAGTAAATTCAGTCTAATGAAATATTCTTTCAAAATACAGTGAAGATAAATAAGCTTGGTTTAAATCTTTTTGGAAATGGGTATTTGATGGGAAGGGGCTGTAAATACATTTTTATCTGCCTGGTTATCCAGCTTGCTTTTATTACCTGTGCACAGAAGCTGCTGTCAAATCTCTGCCGGTCAGGGAGGAAAATGTGAGATGCCAGCAGCTGTACTTCTAACTGCAAGGTTATTTAAGATCCTTTTCCATTGTTTCCATAGTGTTAAAAATCTAACACAGCAGTCACTCTGTTCTATCTTATGCTGGTACTATGTAGAGAGAGGGGACAGGATAAGGTGTTTTTGGGGTGGGTTTTTTTTTTTCTTTTTAATTTAAAGTTAAACCATAAAATTCTAACATTAAACCTGGTGATACTGTGTGTGTCTTAGGAAAGAGTCCTCTGGTCAAACTGCTGCTTTCCTGCCTCTGTTGGTTGGTTTCACCATTCCTCCAAGCTCAGCTCGGGTTTTTTTTTCATGTGTTTTGATGTCTTTGCTGCAACAGGTCAGCACTGCCAGCAGACAAGGGGAGTCTCAGCTTCCTGATTTAATATCTGAGTGTACGAGAGGTCTGGGGTAATGTGAATAGGTTCCTTGTCTGGTCTTTGCTCCTCTTTATACAGTGAGCATAAATATTGATCCTACTTCCCATTTCTTCCATTAATCTACTTTTTAGCATATTTTTGGTCTTTCCTAAGCTGTCTGGAGCCATTTTCCAGTATGAAGGGCTTCACTTTGAGAAACATATTCTCTGTTCGACTTCCCTGCCAACAGCCCCCAGTAACAAACATTTGTTTTAGTCTAAGATGGTGGATTAAGAGAGCTCACATAATCATCCTCATCTGTGTTCAGTTATCATGTCCTTCACTTCTCCACACTTTGCTCTGTAAGCATGGGAATTTTCACATTCTTGTAGCATAAAACAGAAAAAGTTTATCTAAATGCATGGAAAATACAAGGAGGACAAAGGAAAATGTATGCCTCATTTTCATGACAAAACAGTTGCTAATAGATAGTACAACGATGATGAGGGATTAGAGTTGTTTTGATTGATTGCTTTGTTCTTCACAGTTGTTTTGAGATTGACAGTTAATTTTTTCATGCAGTTAGTCCTTGATAAAAGTAAGTTGATTGTATCTAATTCCTTAGAGCTGTAATAGCTTGATGTTCATGCTCAAGTAGATGGAGAACTATGTTAGCAACTTCTGCCAGTAATCAATGAGGAACTATAGGAAAAACATTAGCAGTTTTCACCATGGACTCATGAAGGACTTTGGGGCTTTCTAAAGAGCTGGAGATGTGGTAAAGTAGCATTCTCATCTAAACAGGCAATTGGAGAATTGTCTACCAGTTTTGCTGAAGAAGAAGCCTCTGCAAGGATATGGTGAGAATAGCAATGGTGGGTGTGATTTAGGTGGAAAGGTAATAGCTGAGGGATAGCCAGAGAGAGGGCAACAGTATTTTCCTCCTTTTCTACTTGGAAAGATACCAATTATATGGATTTATAACCAGTTAAAGGTTTTGGAGAACTTAATTCTTAGTTAATTTCAAACTATTGCTTGTGCAGGATAGGATAACAGTCCTAATCATGGATAAAAGGGGAAGTAACGGAATTATTTTTGACGTCACTAATGCTTTCAAAGTTCTTCAGTATGTTTTCTCAGGCAAACAAGAAAAATATCATCTGGAACAAACAGGTTTTTGGAAAACTGCTGCAGTTCACAGGATTGATTGTCAGTGGGTTTGATGTGAAACTCGAGGAACAATTTCATTACTCCACCTTTTGGGGCTGCACATTACTGAATAGTATTTAATATTTTCATGCTAAATAGCACTTCAAAACTCCTAAACTTCTGGTCTAGAATTTTTTTATTGTTTTTTTTTTAATCTGTGATTTGAATGAACTTGCATTTTGCTTCAGTAGTTCTTTGGCTCATACTGGCTTCCTACTTGGTGTGACTTTTCTATGATATGGGCATCCCAAAATTAGTTTCTTTATAGGCTGACCTGTAGACTTCCCTGTAGTAGCCATAAAAACTGGTTCTTGAATACCAATAGGTGTGTTTTTTTCTCCAGCACAGTGACTTCTACAAGATAAGCAGAAAGCAAGTAAAACTACAGTCAGGTTATACATGAACTTAACTATCGATCTAAGTTATATGTCTTTTCTGTAACTTCCATATTTATGATGGTGAAGCAGAGTAGTCCTTAATTTATATAGTTTAGAAGAAAAATGAAATTGAAGTTACTCCTCTGCTCTTCTGCCAGGTGATGATTGTGAGGAGAATGTATACAAGATGCCAATAAGATGGTGATGAAGCATGAAGATCAGTTTTCCAAATCAGCTTCACCAACTATTTAGAAGC